GAAAGAAAATTGGTAGGTGGAAGCTTAAGAGACAAGAAGAGAGCAGAGTGGATTAGAGAACAAATGGGAGTTAAGGATATCATAGTTGAAATCAAGGAGAGGAAATTGACATGGGCCGGGCATGTAGCGCGTAGACAGGTTAACCGCTGGCCAGTAAGGGTAACTAACTGGATTCCTAGAGAAGGCAAGCGGGTTAGGGGAAGACAGAAGGTTAGGAGGGCAGACGAGATTAAGAAGTTTGCGGATATAAATTGGCAGCAGCAAGCACAGGACCGGGTTAACTGGTAGAACATGGGAGAGGCCTTTGTCCTGAAGTGGACGTAGTCAGGCTGGTGATGATGATGAGGATATAAGTATTTCAATGAATCTATATAGTATACAAAGCATTGCATCAATTGCGCCTCGCTACTTTGGCCCTTCTCTGAACTTCGTAACTTTTTCAACAAAATAGTTTTGATCCGATCAACCCTTAGGGCACAGCATTTCGTATATCCTTACGTGACCTCCTTATGCGCTATGAAGAACAGCATGGAAAGATTATACGGGGCACTGTTTCCTCGAGCAGGCAGAAACGGGACCACGGCCACATTTCTTGACAGCGTTACAAACTCGCCTTTCCTATCTAACACTTTGCTTTCGCAGTGCCTATAATAGGCTGAAGTAATGCGTCAAGACCATGACATGCACGATGAATTTCTTCAAACGTCATTTCTGCGCATTCCTACCATGCTGCACGTTTCCGATAGAATCGCGATTTTGTCGATGCAATAACACAACGCCAGATGGTGACATAACCCCTAGCGTTGGCCTCACTATAGCATTCATCTACATCAGAAATAGCTGTGCCTCACCGCGTTCTTCATTCGCGCTCGTGGCTTGGAAATCGGGACTGGCCATTGACATGCACTGCGTTTCCTTCCAGCCGGGTGGTGGCGTCCAATACTATAACGTAAAAGATCTCTACTTTCAAAAGATCTCTACTTAACATGTTCCAGACCTTCAACACGCCAATACCATCCTTTGAATATGACACCATTCTACGCCCGTACTAACACGTTTAACTTTAGCTACTTTCCACGAACTGTTGAACTTTGGAATAACTTATCCGGTGACATACGTTCTTTGCCCTTAAATGAATTGTAGTTATCCATAAATACCCTTTGACAGTTTGTCTTTTTCCGTTTCACTGTTTACTGTGTTTACTGTGTTCTCTTCCTTGCCACCATGTCTCCATTAGGCCACCATGTGATGCCATGTATTGCCACTTTGTATTTAGCTTTCCTTTGCAAAGTATTACACCATGTTTGTTTTGTACCGGCCTGTTACCCACTTATGCCATAGCCCTTACGGGTTGCAGTATGTAAAAATAAATAAATAAATAAATAAATAATAAATAAACGTGCCACGAGTAGGCCTAAATTTGGCGACCATACAGTGACGATTCTTCTGGTTGTGACAACGCTTGCTATTCCGCTCACACCGTTAATTACTGCAGCTACAACAAGTATCTATGACTTGAAGGGTTTGTTTATTTTATGAATCATGGACGTTAGTCATAGGAACAGAGATGTAGGTGAATTCGTGTGAAAGGTTGCTGTAGCTTTCAAACATCAAGATACATTTAGCAAGCTGCCTTTATCTACTACTTCTGTAAGGACAACTTTACTTTTGTATTACACCGAAAATAAAACTTCGGTATGACACAAATTTTGTAATGGCAAGTTTTACTTTCGTGTTATACCGATTTTTCTGATGGAGGAATCAGCAATGTTTTTTTTTTATTTTGCGTCATAGTGATCTTGGACACAGGCGGCAGCTGCAGTGGACAAATACGACGCCAAATGCGGCGGTATTTGGTTTTTACTAAATTGTGTCTATTGTGGCCCCACGGACTTGCGATCGCGTAAAAGTCATATTGCGTGCCTACAGGTATCTCTCGTACTTTTTTCTAATATCTTCATTGGAAGTGCGAGGAGCCGGGAAAGGCACTCGAAGTCAAAAAGCAAGTGGCCAGATTTGACAAAAAGCAAGTGACAGTATGTTGCAACAAGCAATTGTTTTCAATTTCAATGTGATTGGGTTTCATCCACAAAAGCAGTTACCACTTCTCGGCGCAGGCTGCATGGTTGTATGCAGATGAGTTTTGGATCGTTAGGGTATTTTAATTAGATTGCACGAATTATACTAATGACTGTGTTTCTTGTGAAGCTGATGCGAATGCCAAATGTTCACTCGCTGATTTATAAAAAACGAAGCCAACCGCCGGCAATCTGTGCACCGACAGCTAGCAAAATTTTTTGGCACTATCGTTAGCGTCTGTGTGTGTGTGTGTGTGCGTGTGCGTGCGTGTGTGTGTGTGTGCGCGCATGTGTGTGTGTGTGTGTGTGTGTGCGTGTGCCTGCGTGTGTGTGTGTTTGTGTTTGCTACTGGCCTGTGCATTGAGAGATACTAATTGTCTGCGGCTTATTTTGCCTAATGAAGAGTCTTATTTTTACCGTGAACGGTGGCCTAGTGGCTGTGGTGCTCCAGTGCGGACACGCAAGTCGCAGGATCGAGTTCGTACCGAGGCGGCCTCATTATTGATTGAGGCGAAAGTGGTTGAAGTCCGTGGGCTTATATTTAGGTGCAAGCTAAAAAATATTATAGAGTCAAGACTTCCGAAACCTTCGATAAGGCGTTTCTCCTAATCTTATGCTGGTATTGGGACGTTATATTCCATCTAATATTAATAATATATTTAATAGGAGTTTTCTCTTTTGCAACACAACTTTTGCGGCCCGTGTTCTGAAGCACCCAGGCCACGTGAAAATATTTGTAGTTAAGAAGTTGTGGTAGCCAACGACAAGAGACCTGTTGGTCACTGAGAAAGATAAATTTCGTTTGTAAAGTTAAAGAAATATTTTATGGGGCCCAGCGAGAGTAAGGCAACGTTATTTTGTTATGGAATGATTCCGCTCAGCTGCGGGAAAAGAACGGCGGACGTATGTAACAAGACAGTCCTGACCACAGTGACGTATGACGAAAACATTGCCCATGCCTACACTGCTGGCTTGGATATATATACTGCCCTGTGGGAAAAATTGTCCAAATAAGCTAGCATGGGTGGGAATGGGAGTAGCTTGCGAAGCTGAGGAAATGCCGGCGCTTGAGTAGAGCACCAAGAGAAAAAAAATGCTGCAAGCTAAATTGCACGGATGCACTTCGCGTAAAAAGTCTATATGGAATATCACTTTTCAGAGCAAACTTTTTTCGTAACCCAGAGTAAGGCCGCATCGAGTAATGTATGCACATCACCTTTAGATGAGAACGCATCGCAACGAGCTGGTAATCATTGCCGGTACATTCAATGAGGATCACTCCAATTTCTCGGAGAACTGAATCCTCCTGCTTTAAATAGATGTTCGAGCTAGTGTTTCACCAAACCAAGTCACCCAACCACCATAAAGATGTTTACAGGTTGAACTTCACATTAGACTTCACTAAAGCAGAAAACAAAAACAAAACAAATATTTCGCAGTTAATGAGTTTGTCAAATTATCAAATTCTTGTATCTACGTTCGATAATATTATCCTACCCTTTCACGCTCCAAAGCCAAGATATGATAAAAAGGCATGTCGTGGCTTCGGTAATTCAAACCATCTGGTGGTTACGAAACACAGAGAACAAGTAACGACGGCAACGTATCCGCCATAGCTGCGACTTCTCCATTCTTGTTACCCCGTCGTTGCTTGAGCCGTGTATTGAACAACAAGCACAAGTTCGACCCATTCGGTCGTCTTTAACGTGCATTGACCTCACACTAAGCACGGGTCTGTAGAATTATACCACTACTAGTGCCCATGTACGCCTTCCTTTTATCCTGACGTGTATGTGTGCCACCAAGAAGCCAACTGAAAACGTCCTCGCATCGCATCCATTGTGACCATTATTTTGAGCTGTTAGCATGCATGAAAATACGAGCTATACGAGCGGGCTCGAACCTTCGGGTCAGTAGCCGAGCACTATAAGCACCGCTATAGGCCGTGCCATACGGTCGACACTAGATGTGGCCTCTACTACAAGATCAAAGATTATTTTACTAGTTGATTTTAAAGGTGCAATTATTTTTACATTTGAGTCGCGTTGCCGGTACAATGGATTCGTATATTCCACATATATTCTTCACACGAACTGGTGCTCATGTCTGTGGGAAGGTTTTGCTTCTCCAGGAGTTTGACCATAGTTTTGAAATAGACAGTAAAGCTCAGTTGTTTTTTTATTTCAGTGGTGTCAAATACGCACACTCGGGGGCAAAGGTATGTGGATCAGGGAAGGGCGAGTCCCAAATCTCTGTCTTGGCGCGAACTAGTGAGCGGCTGCTGTCTGAGAGCACTGCTTAAACGGTATAGCTGTCCAGAACGTTACGCTTATAGAATTTGTCAAGGAAACGCTCTTCGCGGCCCACAGCTTGCCACTGCATCGAGCAGAAGGCAAATTTATACAGACGCCCATAATCCCTACAATTTTGCTCACGGGTGTGCATTCTCTTGGAATGAGCGACTTGCTCTGCTGCTCTTGGGCAGCAAGCAGGTTACCTTCTGCCACGCCAACTGTAGAGCTGGGACCATACTAATCTAAGAATATGTATGCTGCCTGCTGTAATCGGCGTATTTGTTCCGTTTAATAAAACTTATTCTCTCTCTTGCATTACGGCGTACATGGGAACACCAGTTTCTGGCTAAGCAGGAAAAGAGAAGGTATGGTTTGCATGCGTCTCCGCAATCGCGATCCTGAATGTGCAAATGATGTGCAGGCGGCCCAGTCCTCTTCGTTCAGCTTCAATATCCACTTTGTTGAATAAACAAGTTTACTTCTTTTCTGTCATGCGTGAGATGTTATTTTGAACAAAGCAGCGTGCCTAATCACTGTGCTGACTTACGTTTTACATTTTATGAAACTGCACTTGTCAGAAAATTGATGCCTATGCGTTGGGTAATTTGCCCACTCGCTCCCATTGCAGGAAGGAATTGTGAATCACAATTTGCGAATTACGCCTCTTCTTGAAGGGGAACGATCACTGCAGGGTCAGATACCCCACGTGTTGTTTGAAGTACGAGAAGCGGACAATTTCAGCAAAGTTGGTGAGGAAAATGTTTCTCGTTTCTAGTTTTTTTCTCAAACGCCATGGTTGTACTACATAACTATATATCAGCTAACTAGCGAATCGGCTCACAGCGGAGCAGAGATAGTTTAAAGCGCGGAGCACCTTGAATTGCCAGGTTGTTGTATGCTGTCGTTGTCTCTAGGCGTAATGAAGGCAAAACCCCATACAGCATAGCCAGCTGAGAGCACGCCAAAATGATGTCTTCTTTCTCTTGTTCTTCGAGCGTCTGGATGATTACATTAGGGGCAGAGCACAGGAATTTAGACCACTTAATATATTTATGAAAAGATCAAGTAAGCGATAAATAGATAAACTAGAGAAAGAGAGAGAAAATAGGTAGGACAATAAAAAATAACAAAAATAGAGAAGAAAGAAGCAGAAATGAACTGGAATCTACAACAAAAAAAAACGAGAAAGGGAGAGAAAAACAAACCCTACTTTTTATTTTTTTATTTATGAATACTGCAATTCCTACTAGGGATTTTCGCAGAGTGGGTTACATGAATTACATGAATGATCAATGTGCAGACGAACAAATTTTTAAAACAGAAGATAAAAACACACAAAAACAAAAGTACGCACAAAGCAACTCAAAATATACGAAAATTCGAACGTTTATGGGGACAGAGCTTAATTGGCATGCTATTTTAAGCACTGTTATTGAGGCTAGAAGAAAGCAATGTTGAGGATGGTTGTAAAACTTTGGTGTTGGTTAGTCTGTTCCAGTCGTTTATAGTTCGTGGAAAGAATGAATAATTAAAACAGTTGTTACGGGTTGCATAGGGTGTTCTTGTGCGCTCATGCCTTTGTCGAGCTGCATATCCGGACGAAAATGAAAGAACTTCAGAAATGTCTGTCTTGTAATGTCCCTTTACTATAGTTGATATAGAAATTTTAGTCTAGAGAAGCGGTTTCTTTCTGTTAGTGTTGGTAGATTAGCTCGAGTTGAAAGTTCCAAAATTGAAGTGCGCCCGAATTTGTTATAAATAAAACGAATGGTCTTTTTTGTAGTCTTTCTAGCTTGTTGATATTAGATTTGGTAAAAGGGTTCCATATATTGGAAGCATAATCCAGAGTCGGTATAACTATTGATTTATAAGCCAGAAGGTGGACGAAGGGGGTTGAGTGTTTCAATGCTCTTCTGAGGAAGAACAATTTACGCATTGCAATGTTAGTTACTGTATTATTTTAAAAGAAGCAAAGTCACACAGCAGGGTTGCCTGTTTACACCTTTACGTCATATTGGCTACTTTTGAACAGCCGTGGAGACTAAAACAATTACGTTGGCTATTCGGCTACTATTTGGCTATTGTTAAGGTGCAGGCCTAAACACATATTATACGCTAAACTCAAGGGAAATGATACAAAGAAGAAATAAGTGTGTATTGACACTGGCGTCGCCAGCTCCTTGGGTGTAATAGCATTTTTTACTCAATATAGCAGAAGCAATTGCACACGCCGGAAACGCGTCTCGGCTGCCATGGTTTTCACATTATAATGAAACTTTAGAAGTTATGGAGCATTGTAAGGTGGGTGGAGGGAAAGTAGTTCAGCCTTTCTAGCCACTGTCCGCCTGACGCGCAAATGCTCTGAGCGGTATAAGTGGCGCCACCCTATGCGAACGTTGGAGAAAAGTGGATGCACGCCGGTCATAAAAGCCTTGCACAAGGCGCACGCATCCTGCCGTTTTTGCAGTCAGTTTGCATTCTGGTTTATTATTTTCACTGCCGACGCTGCTGCACTTGTCAGTTATGACGTTTGTTATGTTGACTGTTCTATTTCGTTTGGTTGGCAATGGCAGGTTCGTTTTTTATCAAAGCATGCTCGCTCGAAGCACTGTATATGTTTCCTACGTGAATGCGCCTAAGCTGTTGTTTGTGTGATTTTCTAACACAGACGCAATAGAAAACATTTCCATACGAAAAGCAAAGTCTATCTTGTTTTTCAAATGACATTAGCTACAGACTGCACATCGCTTCATCTGGAATGGGGCCGAATACGATGATTGTTTTGAAAACCTTGCAAAGAGGCGTATTCGGTTCACCCGAACCCGTATTGAGCTGCAAGTACGGCACTTCCATCAAGTTGAGGATTTTGAATGCCAAGATGCCAGCGATGGAATTCCGGACGGAAATAAAATCTTACGGGGATGCATCAGGTGGTAATCTTATGCAAGACATTGCAGGCAGGGCACTTAAATTTTTTTATTTAAATCTAACGCAGAAGTGGAGTGAGTGTTTTCAGTTATGCCTGTTACAAAACCAGTGACTTAGATGAATCGAATGCCAAACAAAATTGTCTGAATCATCAGGGTCCGATTTGGACTACGTCTCCAACGTGTTACAAGCACTATGTTAACGTGGTTAGAAAACTTCGTTGCATTTATTGAGAAATACGAAGTACTTTGCCCACTTTACATTAACACTGCCGCGGGGCAAGCTCGCAAAAGTGAACTCGCCTATCTATATTTGACTGTCGGTGCAGTATTAACTAACAATTTTTTATAGCACTAACTCCTACAACATAAAGTCACCTGATCTTTTCTTTACTATCTTTTGGTGTCAAAAACGTTGCTGTAATGTATAATTTTGAATTAGGTGTCAGAACGCAGTGATAGTTTAGCTAAACTAAAATTACGTTTGGCTACATTTCCGGCTCCAAAATAAAGTAACGGCTGCCGGTTGGCTACACACTGTTCTGCCTAGCTTGGTTAATTTTGTGGCTCTTTTTTCTTCGAGTATCTGGCAACCATGATGCCCAGCTACACACTTCCTCTCGACTTGGCACCAATTGTGTAAAGCGTCTTTGATTTTTTGTGTTTTCAAGGGCGAAGCTGTAAATTGCCCTACCGGTACGTGATATGTAATATTTCGTACTCTTCTTAAAGAAATAATTAATCACTCCGGTTGCAACGGAAACAACAGAGACGGTTTTGTAAACGTTCACAGGAATCTGTTGAGCGCTTTGCTTTTCGTTCCATCACCATCTTGTGCGAGCGCTGTTTGGTGAGGACGTGCCTACCGCCCCTGTCGAATGCTCTCCAGCTTTACCAGTACATATTAGCAAAATGTCGTAAATGCACATAGTGTTATATTGGCGCATTCGGAACAATTGTGTTTCCCATATTTCACTTGGGACAAAAATTGCCAACATGAATTTAGGCTCGTTATAAGCTGTGCGCATGATGATGTGAGGAGCTTTCCTCTACCTTCTTCGAGAGTTGGCGTGTTGCGAGAGAATAGTGAATAGTGAAGCGCAAAATGCAGATGATAGACAAAAAAAACTTTACCTTTCGTACAAGGTGGTACAGATCCAGCTTCGGCGTTTACGCACAGCTCAATACCTTGCACAACTAATTTCTAATATTTTTTCTATGGTCTTATGAAGTTCTGTGAGAGAAATGAGGCATTTAGTATTTCCCCGGAATTCCTGGCTACTGGGCACAGGGCGAATCATTTGCATCCTTCTTGATAAGGCGGACTACTTGGTGTCAAAAAAAAGAGACCGTATTTGTCTCAGTCGAACTTATCATTAGGTGTTGGTTTTACCCCGAATCTTCAACTTTAGGCCTGCAACCTTTGGGACGCAGCGGTGGTCAAGGCGAAAAAAATAACTTGCCGCTGAGTGCATTCTTTTTAATAGAATCGATTTTCTATTGAATTTATTTTGACAACACTGGAGACATTGCAGAAGCAACAAAACAGCTCGTCATCACCCCCTTGACACAGAGTGAACCAAAATTTTTGTGGAAGGTTAAAATGGTTTGATAAATTCGACTGGCTCGTCACGAGATGAATAATATCACACTCCCGTCACTTAAGTCGTCAAATAATTACCGTCAAACGTGTAGCATATCGCCGCTGGCGGGTACGTGCCACTGGTATGCGGGCATATGCCACAGGTCATTGGCACTTCATATCTACCCAGCAACGGCGAGAACACACATGGGTAATTTTAACGCGTAAGCAGTAAGAAACAGCTGACACCAGCTACGGTTACTCGATGAAAAAGAAAGAGATGGAGTGCCAGCAGAAATCGAACCACAGTATTTTGCGTGGCAACACACATTCTACCACACCTCCCCGCCAGGTTTCTAAATGCTATTCAAATAGGCCGTAATGTTCGTGAAGCGTCACTTCGAAATGCAGTGATGGCTATTCATTTTTATTTATAAAGGTTACGTATGTACTCCTATATTACAAACGTCACATCGAGTTAGGATCAACTTTAGGTGAGTGCAATGCAGTGAATGGTGATTGACAGTTTATATCAATGAAGCAACGACACGACCAGACATTGGTAAATTTAGTTCAAGTGCGTTAAGAAAAGTCAAGGCGTCTTAATGATGTCGAGTGAGCGAAGCTATAGGTCTTGAGGTTCATAAGGTTTACGTTGAAGTTGCCGACTTGTTTAAAGGACGGATAGAAAAACGGATGGACGCGCGGAAGGATAGAGAGGTGAGCGTATACATGGAGGGATGGACAGACGGACGCACGAATGAACGGACGGATTTATAGGGAATCGGACAGATGGATGGACACCCGGACGGAAAGACGGACAGCACGGGTGATCATGTATTGTGCTGCCGTATGGGTGATTACACAAAAAAGTCGGTTGTTTACACATATGCTTTCGTTTTTTGTGGTGCAGGTGTTCAGCTTCGGTTTGTGTTGTGTGGGCCGTAAGGGACGCCAATTAGGTCGGCCCCAAGGAGATTCGTCTCGAAACAGCTAGCATCGGCCGCGTTTACTGAACAAACGTATATAATTAAGAAGAATCGAACCCCAAGCATTTTGTGTGCAAGCAAGTATTCTACCACAAAACCACGCCAGGTCTTGGAACTGCTTTTCAAGTATACCGCAATGTTCGTGAAACGCGAACTGTGGTTTCAGTGCTGGCTGTCCAATCTCATAAGCAGTACGTACGTACTCCCACCATACAGCCATGGCATCGAGTGAACGATAATTGCTGTGAAGC